CGGGTTCAGAAGCAACGCGCAGCGTACGTTTTCTCGTATTCACCGCTAATTCCCTTGAGCAAGATATTCACCCAACTGTATTCTACATAGCCAGCCGAAAATGGGTAGTAAGTCGTTGAGCAGCGAATTATCGGGAGAGAATAGAGTTTAAGTGTTGTCCATGCCAATGCGTGCGAAACTTACGGTCATGCTGTTTGATGAATGCAACTTCCGGTTGCGATTCGCCACGTGATAAATGACTAAATTTCAACACAACTGCTGATTCAAATTAAATTAAAAACAGTGAAATGAAACAAATTATATAAAACCTTAAAATAAAGATAAAATCTTAGTCGATCCCCTTATACCTTATTTTCGACTAAGTACGTGCAGTTGCTTCGCAACAAAATTTTAATATCAGACATCTGGCAATATCTTCAGCTGTGGCTTGCTGAAAGAACACAACAGGGTAATGTTAGCTGCTTTCACTGTTGTAAGGGTAGCAGGTGATAAAATTTATAAACACGGAGCAACGTCGTATTCTAAAGTATTGCTGGAGATGAATAACAACGCCAAACAGACATGATCACATTTCTGACTCATATAGCCTTCGGGATAGCAACTGACGCACTGAAGCTACACAAAATCAACTTCTTTCATACGTGAAACATTCTGCAACGTTTCGTCTAACAACGTCTATTAGAAAGCTGAATAAGTACACGTAGGGAATTAAGACTTAGGTTCATCTGTTGTAGTCAATATCGTGCCAGTTTGTACAGACTTGTGTTATATCTGTGTGATCATTCGTTTATTTATTCTTTTCTTAACATATTTAACTTTTTTAATGGTGGGCATCAAAGATTAAAAACTGGATTCTGCTGGACCACAGATATCCACTCGGTTGTCCAGAAGCACGCTGGGACGATATGATGGTCCCATTACTTGGCCTGCGTTTGAGCTAGAGAGCGAAGAAAGGAGAACACTGGAGGGGCTGCGACTTGCGTTCATGGCGCATCCATAACGAAGACAAGTTGAATAACGCATAGTACAAAATGTCTATCACCTATTCAAACAGCAAAAACAAACAAATTCAAAATTTGAGCATAAAAATCATGTCATTAGTCTTTAAGCAATTTAGTAATGAGCAACAATCAAGAGTAGTTAAAAAATATTCAACATAAAAAACAAAAAAGAACGTCAAAATGTTAATAACTCAATTATATTCGTAAGAATATTAAAGAAACTCGACGTGTTTTGTCGCATTAACTTTTTCTCAATCGTATCAAATTTTCGCTTTCTGTGTTATCATGCAATTTTTAGAGCATTTGCTGAAAAAACAAATGATTGGTGCGCATTACAGCGTAAAATTTGGCTAAATGGGGATAAACTTAACCGCTATCCGTACGTATACAACGCAATGATTTGCATTGAGGAAAAAACTGACTTATGAAAAAAAATCTTCATGTAAACATGGCCCCAACTACGACATGCTTCAACCGGGACCGAAATGAAGCAACGGGGAGGAGTTGTGTCAAGTTTCTTTCCCGTCAGGCTCTGTGTTAATTAATTGCGTGCCAGAGGCTGTTGGCCATGGAAACCGTACGAGCCGAAGAAATAGGCATCTGTTATTTCACCAGCGATCGAACAATGTCATATCCATGCCATGCTGATGGCTTTCCTCCGTCGCCAGTTGACTCGTCTCCAGGGGAAATCGGGTCAAACCCTGAGTTCTTTGTCAGACCTCAAATGGACCTGTGTGCTGCTGTGTCCGGCCAGCCGCGGACAAATCTTAGCTAATAGGGTCTGATGTAGCTCATCGTAACCTACTCGGCAATGATTGAAAGCTACAGATAAAGAAAGACGAAAGCCGTCAGCTGACGAAAATCGACAGCGAAACCCGCTCCGAGCGCCAACTGCTGGCTGACCTCAGAAACCTCACTGCTCCGGGGACGGACAACGAACAA